TATATATATATATATATATATATATATATATATATATATATATATATCAAAAAAGATTAAAAGTTTGAATGGCAGCATCATTGGAATTATATTTACCTCTGCCAAGGAGGTTATGTTTTCACCCCTGTTTGTCTGTCATCAACATAACTCAAGAAGTTACGGACCGATTTTGATGAAATTTTTAGGAACTGTCAGAAGTGGGCAAGGAGGACAATGATTAGTTCTTGGTGGTGGTCCGGATCAATAATCAATCAATAATAATCAACAATTGCTGTCTTGGCAGAGGTCTGCGCTCTTGGAGTGCTTTTCTAGTTTTGTTATGTTTTCCTTTTTAATTTTTTCTCAAACACTGGCATTTGTGACTTTTAACTCTCATCTGCCTGAGGCTCTGCACATTTTCTATATTTCCACATAAGCAGTTGTATTGTTTTTTATGTCTTTAAACATTATGTAATATTTTTTTATGCACTGTCATCATTTTTCAAATATTGAGACTTTCATCATGAGAATTTAAACTCTCATGGTCCTGAAACTGTAATCTTACTGAAGGGGTGGCTTGAGACCATCTTCTGGGTCTTCCGGAAGACGGTCAGGTTATTATACATGTTTATATTGACTGGTATCTATTTTTTTTCTGTTGGAAGACCATAAAAATGGAGGATGGATCAACATAGATACTTTGGAATACTGTCAGAAAATATCTCTGGGTTCGCTCCTGTTATTGACCATGGTACCTGTTGTGCATGATTAAAATTCAGTGTTGACTGACAGTGCTATTATAAGCATTATTTATTATTGCATCAAAATTGACAAAATGACCTATTTTGCATCTTTATTTTCTGTTTTTTTGTCTGTACATTTGACAGCTTTGCTGCCTTGTTTTTTATATGAATGAAACTGAAAAAAGTAAATTCTGTGTGTCACTTGAATACAATTTAAACACTTAAACACACATTATTAAATAAATTATATACATTTCTTGTATTACTCACATTGGAATTTTGGACCAGTCTGTTGTATATATCTCTTTTTCAAAATAGAATTTTTTCTATCAGTAAAACTTAATACCTTATATTATAATAATTATTATACTTTGTTGTAACTCACATTCAATAATAGTTTGGAAAATAATATTGAAAGCTGCCACAAAGAGTTTTACAGTCAGTTAACCCAACTGATGGGAAATACTGTGATATAGTCCTTAACAATTTTCAGTTCTTTGACAGAACATGAAGCTAAAACTATGCAAAAAAAGTTTAAATTAACTTATATCCTCAACAATTCAATTAATAATACATAACTGTTGTTTATTGTTCCAGGTTGTATGTGGAGCATATGTGGTATTCATGACCAGGGATGGGGAGAGAGACCCGTGTTTGGAAAGATACGCTTCATGAATTATCAAGGATGCAAAAGGAAATTTGATGTCCCAGCTTTTGTTAGAAAATATGGAGGAAAGAAGCACTAATACCTGTAGACATGTTTATTTTTCAAGAACAGGCATTTGATGTGATATATAATACATGTAAATATGGTTCATGGAGTTCCATGTTGTAAAATGCAGTGAAGCACCAGTATCAGTGTATTTTTATGATATCTGGAAGGATGATTATTCTTAGCTTGTTAGAATTTCAAGGGTTCATGATTTCATAAATTAAGGATTGATCCTTAGTATGATGGACAAAATATGTAGACTTATCAGGTTTTGAAAAAAATATATATATTATATATTTAAGAGGGAAGAATTTCATGAGACTATGATGAGAAGAGCATGGTTAGTTGGAATCTAACCAATTCAGTTAAGAGAAGGTTTCATATTTACCAGTGCATTCACATACTAAGCTGATAAACTTTTTTAGAAAACCATCATGCATTTCAAATTTGAGAAAATAATTGATATTTTCATAGTTATTTTAAGTGTCATGATTAAATGTAGAACACAATATGTAGTTTGTTTGTGTACTTTTACCTGACAGAAAAAAATATAATGGATTCATTATTTATCTCAATGATATTAAAATTGTACATGTATATTGTACATTTGTATTAAAATTGTACATTTGACAGAGTAATATTGATCTTAAAGGGATTTTTTTCCCTTTATTATCTTACACCACAAATGTTCACAGATTCCATAATGACTGACTTAAACTATGGATTTTTTGACAGTGATTAGCATAAAACATACAGGGAAGGGTAGTTTTAAGAAACACACAACAACACTTGTTTTACTTAAAGAATGTATTATCATTTTTATTACAACACAATGTTAACAGTTGTCTAGTGCAACACTACCACAGTTCAGACCACTTATAGATAATAACAGTACAATGAGGTTGAACTAACTCATCATTCACAGGTATTTAACTTCCTACATCTAGGTACATCACATTATATTCTGTATAATGGATTTCTCTCTTAATCAATCTTCTGACAGTAATAGATCTAGAAATGTCTTCCTAAGATATTCTGGAATATGCACTGTAAACAAATTAAATACATGAAAACATGTAACATGGCTTTTTCATTTGATATTTCCGTGACTACACGCATAATAATTTGTCTCTTAATAATACCACAACCAGTTGTATTTGAGACATTATGATGGCTATCCTTAAATATGCACATCATAAAGACACTGTTATGTGAATTATCTGGTATGTGAAATATTAGTTTTATTAACCAGTAAATTTTGAAAAATCATGTTTGAACATCCTTATTAAGCACTTTATTAGATTAATTTTTTGATATGAAAGAAATTGGAAAAATAAATACTATGTGTTACTTGAAAACAATTCAAACACATGTACACACATTATTAAATAAAATTATATTCATTACTTGAATTACTCACATTGGAATTTTGGACCAGTCTATTGCATATCTCTTTTCAAAACAGTAAAACTTTATGCCTTATATTATAAAAATTATATTGTTGTAACTCACATTCAATAATATTTTAATAATTAT